TCTCCAGACTCTCCCGTGAAGCCCTCCATTGTAGTGGGCTACGGTCTTCCGGCATTTTCACAGCCTACAAGGAGTCAGAGCCACAGAAGCTTGATGGCTTGTACCCAGCCCCTTGAGCAAGCTGCCTGCGTTCCCTTTCAGTGGTTTACACTGGAAAGGTGAATACCAGCTACTCTAAGAACCAGCAGGGAGTTTTCCCTGTCAGTGAGGCCCCTCACCCAACAATGACTGGGCCTCTTTTCAGGGGGGAATGGAGTGAGTAGATAGCTTCTTGCAAAGATGGACAGACAGACCAAGATGTAGAAATAGGGAGGAGTGGGGGAGCCTGTGCTCTACAGACAGCAGTCACCTCAGGATGACAAGGCTCTGTCTCTAGCTTTGGTGGAAGCTGCATAGAGATGTAGAGAGGACTAGGGTGGGTGACGTGTACTTAAAAACACGGCATGCTAGCTGCTCATAACAGTGGACAGAAAAAAATGATTTTCAAAATATATAATACACACTTGTATGCTTTTCTTTTGCTGTGACAGAGTGCTTGACCAAAACAACCTAGGGAAGAAGGGTCTATTTTGGCTCACAGTGTGGGTATAGTCCACTGTAGCAGGGAAGGCATAGCAGCAGAGCTAAGGCAGCTGGTCACATTGCTTCCGCAGTCTAGAAATAGCTGAATGCTGAATACTGATACTACCTACAGTTAAACCTCCCTAATAGACAAGCCCAGAGGTATGCTTCCCTGGAGATTCTAAACCCAGTCAAACTGAGCGAAGCGTCACCCACCACACCCACAGTGTAGAGCATGGGAGCAGAAAAGATGCGAGGGGACAGCTTCCCTTCTGCTCATTCCCTTCCCTGGAGACATCCCTGCCGGGGATGTACCGACTTAGGCAGATCGGCAGGATGTGAACACTGCACACAGAAAATCCTTCTTCCCCCTCATAAAAGCCCCAGATGGCATCATCCCATGCCAGGGCTCTGGGCCTCTTCTATTTACCAGCTTCCTCACATGGAGGGGGTGGTGAGGCTTACCCTTTCCCATCAGACATCATGCTGCCCTGACTCACCCCACCACTTGATAAACAGGTGGGCGTGTGAGAGCTGCCTTCATCGTCAGCACCGTAATAACCCAGTCTCTCGGAGAGGTGAAGCAGATCTGAGGTGTAAGCCAACAAGCCTGCCTGTGCGAGCATGCAGCAGGTGCACACGTGCATGCTCAGAGGGCAGCCTTAGGGGTTTCCCTTGAGGCGCTATCCACCTTGGCTTTTTGGGTTTTTGTTTTGTGTTGTTTGTTTGATTGTTTTTGAGACAAGGTCTTGCACTTGGCCTAGAATTTTCCAGGTAGGCTAGATGACCCCAGGGATCCTCCTGTCTCTACTTCCCAAAACTAGGATTCCAAGCACACAGCCACTTTACCTGGTTCTGTTTTGTTTTGTTTTGTTTTGCGTGCTTGTTTGCAGTGGTTTCTGGGAATCAATTTCTGATCTTCATCCTAGCAAACCAAACAGTTCACCTGACTGAGCCCCACATCTGTAGTTTTGATCAGCAGAGTGGCCTCCACAGAGACACATGTTCTTCTGTGTCTGAAAATGTGTTTGTGGATGTGGTTGGGAGCAGACATTCTGAATGGAGACGAGGTAGTTTCAGCCCGGGGAAGTTTTGACTGTGCTCCTTGGAGACTGGCTGTCAGTGCTTTCTGTCACAGTGGGCCAGGGAGGAGTTGGGACCGCCCCTGTCTTGACACATGGAAACCCCAGACTTTAGATGAGTTGCCAATGATGATCGTGTGTGTGTGTGTGTGTGTGTGTGTGTGTGTGTGTGTGTGTGTGTGTGTGTGTGTGTGTGTGTGTGTGTGACAGGTTGGTTTTTTTTTCCAATCCTGACCTGCCTGGCCCACTCTGCTCTGTTACACCTCATCAGCCCCATCCCGTGCCCGTTAGGAGTTAGGCCAGGTCCACAAGGGAAGCACCAAGGCAGGACTGGGTGTCTAGTTGGGACTGAGCGGAGAGAGTAAGGATGAAATATTTCCTGTTTGACACTTACAAGTGGAGGTGGCCTGTTCTGACCTCACTATGAGGGGTAGACTGACATCCTGCTAAAGATTTTATCAGCAACATCAAGGCCAGCCAGGGGTATATGAGACCCTTTCTGAAAGCAAAACAGAAGTCTCAAACCAAGTCCTGGGTAGGGTCATGCTCCCTCCACATTGTATAGCACAGGGTCTGTCCCCATCTCTTCTGGCCTCTGCTGTTGCCAGCCATCCTTGCCTTCTTGTTTGTGCAGGCGTCACTCTGCTCCAGAGGTGGTCCACACCCCCTCTCTGGTGTGTGCACATGTCTGCCTCTATGTCTCTTTATCTCTTTTTTTTTTCTTAAAGCAGAGTCTCACTATGCAGCCCTGGCTGGCCTGGATCTCTCTGTAAAACAAGCTGGCCTCAAATTCCCAGAGGTCTGTCTGCCTCCACCTCCTGAGTGTTGGGATTAAAGGTGTGCACCATCATGACCAAACATCTCATCTTTTATGAGGACACTTACCATACTGTATCAGGTCCACCCCAACCCAGCAGAACCTCACCAAACTTTATTAACCTGAAAAACCCCTATTTCTAAATAAAGTCATATTCACAGTACTGGGCACTAATCTTTTTGAGACACATTTATTCAGCATTATGATTGGACTTTAGCAACCAACAGCATGGGTGAATAAAAGTCTACAGTAAAACCCTTTGTTGAAATGTTTTACGCTTTCCACAGAACAGAAACTAAAATAACCTGTTATACATACAGTTGGTCACAAATACAGTCCTGGAGGTTTTTTTGCCCATACACATGAGTATTGTCTAACACATGTGTTTTGTAGCAGCCAGGCCCTGCCACCACTGTGCTTGGCTGAGTTCACAAATCTGTTGTAGCCTGTAGCTTCCATGTCACTTCCCTGGCTCTCCTCTCCTGCTAAGCTTTGTTTCCTGGCTGTAAATAGAACCTCCTGCCACTGCCACAGCTGCTGCTGCCGCCGGAACCACCATAGCCACCGTGGTTTCATGCTTTAGCAAAGTATTGGCCTCTACCTCATAAGGACCAGAGCCTCTGCCTCCAAAGGTTCCTCCCTTGAAGACTGACTGTTGTTATTGCCAAAATCATTGTAGCCTCTACCACCTCCAAAATTGCTCCAGTCATTACCAAATCCATTATAGCCATCCCCACTGCCACCATATCCACCACCACCACAGCTGCCATAAAGCCACCACGACCACTGAAGTTTACACCTCAGCCAAAATTGTCAGTGCCACCAAAAACACCTCCATGACTACCACCAAAGTTTCCGGAACCACTGCGACCTCTTTGGCTGGAGGAAGCCCTGACCGTCTCTCGCTTTGACGGGGCTTTTCTCACCTCACAGTGGTGGCCGTTCACAGTGTGGCATTTCTGAATAACAATCTTGTCCACAGAGTCATAGTGACAAAGGCAAGCCCTCTCTGTTTTCCCACTGCCTCTGTCTGTCATGATTTCAATCACTTCACTTTTCCCATACTGCCCAAAATCATCTTGCAGGTGCTGTTCTTCCATGTCTGCTTTAATGCCACCCATGAAGATCTTTTTCACAGCGAGGTGGGCACCTGGTCTCTGGGAGTCTTCTCCAGAAATGGCTCTCTTAGCTTCCACAACCCTTCCATCCACCTTGTGTGGTCTGGCATTCACAGAGGCATCCACTTCTCCCACTGTGGCGTGTGTGACAAGCCCAAAGCCCCTGGATCGCTTGGTGTTTGGATCTCTCTTCACCCCACAGTCGGCGAGGGTTCCACCATTGCTCAAAATGGCTCCTCAGACTCTCATCACTTGTTTCAAAGCTCAGCCCTCCCGTGAAGCGCTTCCGCAGCTGCTCCAGCTCCTTGGGTCACTCCAACTCAGACATGACAACAGGGAAACGAGAGCCTTCAGCGATGCTTCCTCAGCCACGTCAACAGGCAGAAAAGCAGCACTGAGCTTTGATGTATACTTCCAAGGACACCGTTTGACCCATAACAGTTAACTGGCAACGTAATTGGGCATGCAATGGTTGCCTCGCAAAGACAGACCCTGAGATTTCAGGAGCCCTGAGATATGAACAACTTTTATTCCTGGCAGATTCATGTCCCAAGTCTCCCTGCAGTTTTCTGTTGATACCACCTTCTCCCTCCTCCCTCCTGTCCATCTAAGGCCTCTTCATTTTAGAAGCCCCTTTACGACCAGTATTTTACCATATGGTCTCAAGACAGGATTACATAACTAGGAATGCTTATGTCCCACACCTCTTGTGTGCATATTTCTGTGGGTGTGGGTATGCATGTGTGTGTGCGTGTGTGTGTGTGTGTGTGTGTGTGTGTGTGTGTGTGTGTGTGTGCGCGCATGCATGGCAGAGGACAGCTTTGAGTATGTTCTAAAGCCTAGAACTCATCAAGTAGGTTAGGCTGGCTGGCCAACCCAAGGATCTGCCTACCTCTGTCTCCTTCCCGTGCTAAGATTGTAAGTGTGTGCCACCACGCCTGACTTTGTTATGTGGGCTCCAAGCTCAAGTCCTTATGCTTACAAGGCAAGCACGTCCCTGTCCACACACAGTCATGGGATGTCTTCATCAGCCACCTTGGTGCTGCTGAGCTCCCTGCTCATCTCCCAGTAAGCAGCCTCCACCAATATGGCTCCGTGGTGTTTGCTGTTGACACAAGCTTGGTGGGGAGGGAGAAGAGAACACGAAGTATTGGCCAAGGGGAGGGCGAGACCTCGCGAAGGAATGAGGAGGGACTATATGGACACCCCCAACTAAGGGGCTGTTCACACCTCCACATGGATGGCGAGGGAGTTTCTGAACGTCTAAGGGGTTGTGAACACACTTAATAAACTCTTCCCTGCCGTCTACATTTAATATTTCAGGATTTTTGTCAGAGGAAGACATGTGCTCTCAGAAGCAGAGAGCCCTCACCTCTCTGCCCCATGGCCACACTTGTAATGAGCTCTGCCATTTTCCTACAGCCTCCAGTGTCTCCTCTTCTCCATCAACACCCACCCAAGTGACCAAGCCACACCCGTTTCCCCTGGAGTCCTACAAGCAGGAGCCTGAACGCCTAGAAAACCGCATCTATGCTTCCTCATCCCCACCGGACACCGGCCAGCGCTTCTGCCTGGCGTTTCAGAGTCCAGTGCGGCCTCCTCTGGCATCTCCCACTCATCATGTCCCCCTAAGAAACGTAAGTCTGCACCTTCGTTCCAGAACAGGACTGGACCAAGCTACGGGAGGGAGGATGGAGCTTCCTGGTACCAGCTCAGGCTGCACGCTGCCAGCATTTGTGAATTGTATTGTCATAAGTCACAGGCTAAGAGAAGCACTCAAGGTCCAATTGGGTATGCATGTGTGACATCAGGAATTAAAAGAAAAACTGTGTCATCCTCTCCACTTGGAATATGACCAGGAGAAAGTCTTTTCCCCCCACTTCTTAAAACTCCTACTTTAGAAGCACCATTTAGATTGGTGCTAAACTGTCACCAGCAAAGCAGAATAAGATACAAAAGAGGGAGGGAGGGAGGGAGGGAGGGAGGGAGGGAGGGAGGGAGGGAGGGAGGGAGGGATTGTATTCTAGAGTTTTAAGGTCTGACATCACTGACTTGAGGTAGGTTTATAGAAAATTAGTCACGTGGAGGAAGTGGGACAATATATCTTTGTGGCTGTCAGGATTAGCTGAGAAGGTCTGGGATTGTTGATGGAGGAGGCCAGATTTCCCCCAACCTAGATATTGTCCAAACCAACACAGTAACCCAAGCATGGACGCCCTACCCACAGTAGTCTGTTTAGTTTAATTAGGTACTCGAGGAGCCTCAGAGTCATCCCTGAGCTAGGTGAGGACTTACCAGTGCAGATGGAGTCGTGCCATTCAGTCATGTTGGTTTCTTTTCCTGGAACAGTGACAACAAAACACAGTCTCCCTCCATGTCCACTGGAGATTGGTTCCAGGAGCCTGAAGGTACCAAGATCCTTGTGTGTTAATCCTTATAAAATGACATGGTTTTGACATGGTGCCTAGGCACATCCCTCTGTAGATTTTTAAACCATCTTTGGAAAACATCATTGGTAACACAGTCTACGTCGCTGTCTGTCTGTTGTATTGTTTAGATAGTTCTTACAAAGCATGCGTATCCAGTACAGAGACAGTCTGTTAAATCTGCAGTCTGTTAAATCTACAGGTGCAGAACTTGTGGGGAGAAGAAAGCCAACTGTCCCACACGCTGAAGGTTAACAACACATTGCGTTTTCCCACAATTCTGAAGCTATAAGTGCAAAGTCAGGGTTTGGGTGGGGCCTTGCTTCCTCCAGGCTTCCATATGCCTTCTTTCTCTCCCAGCATCTAGCAGCCTTGAGTTTTCTAGATCCTAACTCCATCTCCTAAGCCACCTCCCCTCTGTATCTGCTTGTGTCCCAGTGTCCCTCTTCTTAGGATACTAATCATCTTGGATAAGAGTCTGTCTCAATGGGTTCATGTAGATATGGTGACATCCACAAAGACCTACTTCCAAATAAGAGTCCCAGTAGTGGGTACTACAGTTAAAACATCAGCCTATCTTCTCAGGAGATGCTGGTCAACCCATAACAGTTGATGCCTTTGGGGAGAAAATGTGTTTGCCAAGCAGAGTGCATACCATGACTGCTCCTCCATTCATTCAAGCATGGCTTTATTAAAGGGGGCTTAGCAGTGTTCATTTGCATAGCAAGGGCTATTGCCCTACATTGTCTCTACCCTCCAGCACCTACACACTTGCTGGCCGTATGTTAAGTAGTACTCAGACAAATAGCCAAGTCAGCGTAGAAAGTCAATGGCTGGGATAATGGCTGGAGCTGACACAGTACCAGCTGAGCTGAGCCTCAAGTGATGGTGTGAGTTTAAATAAGCAGAGAGGCAGGAGAAAACTTTCTAGAAAAGAAATGACTGTCTGGAACTGTGTGTCAGATAGACACTCGCTATTGACAGGGATAAACCCCAAGGCTGCCATGCTGAGTTGAGATAAGCCAGACACCACAGGACAAACTGCATGGTATGTTTACATAAGATCCTACATTTGTCATGGAGACAGAAACTAGAGTGGTGGTTTTCTAGGGGTTAAAGAGACAGAGTGACATTTTCTTAAATTGCATTTCATCTATTGGGGGTTGGGGATGGGGTGCAGGTCACCGCACTTGTGTAGAGATCAAAAGACAATTTTCCGTTCTCTCTTCTCCACCACGTGGATCTCAGAGATTGAACTCAGGTCCCCTGGCATGGCAGCAATCGCCGTTACCCACTGAACCATCTTTCCAGCCCAGGTGATATTTTTAGTGGCAGTTTCTCTTCAGGAAGATTAAACAGTCTGGGGGATGGATTTAAAGCGGTCCCATGATAGCATAGATGTAATTATGTCATGGAACTGTGTCTTAGCAATAATGATCCTTTGCTGAGACCTGTATCATGTGCAGCTCATCGCAGCAAAAGAATGATCTGCCCATGGTACTTGTGTACTTAAAGCTGCACAAAAGCAGGGTGAGCCCCAGGGCTCCCCACCTACGTTTTGAAATGATGTGTTTCAGGGAGTAGAAAAGGAGGGCTGAGGAGATGGCTTGGTAGGTTAAGTACATGCCAGACAAACATGAGGATTCGGATCTCCAACACCTGTGCAAGAGCCTGTGCAGTGACACAAATCTGCAACCCCAGCTCTGGGATGGGAGGGAGAGGAGACAGCAGATTCTTGGAGATTGCTGGCCCTCCAGCCCAGCTGAATTAACTAACTGAGACAGGTGAAGTGACCCTGTCTCAAAAAAAAAGGTGGAGAGCCACAGAAGAATGCACCTGAGGAGACCCTCTCTGGTCCCCACATGCATACACAGGGGCACACACACACACACTCATGATAGCACACATGTACACACATATAGCATAAACAAAAAAGTCAGAAAAAGGATGTCCCTACAGCTACTTGTCATGAACACACCTAACCACCTGTAAATGTCATCCTGGGACAGACCTGCAGGCCTACAGCCTCTGCATCCAGCCACAATGGAGCAGATGGTATTTGAACTTCATATAAAATTTGTCCCTTTATAATTGGATTTTGTTGGATGTCTTTAATTTATGGGCTGTTCTTTAAGAGTTTGACTGATTTTGTTAATTTTGCTACTGGCATAATCTTCATGAAGAGATATGAGCTGCTTAAAGATTTCTGGGCCCTAAAAATATTTCAACGTAATTTATCTCTGCTCTTTAGAATAAAGACTCTTTCCATAAACAGGGACCATGAAATCATTTTTTGTGAAGTCAGATCCCATGAATTTTATTCTAAAGTTGGAAAGGGATGGGAGTGAATATTTGTCTTTCATAAGGGCACTTACCAAAGCCATTTATTTATTCAACAAATAAATCCAGGCTGGAGATGTAGTTCATTCCAGAAGGAATGAAGCCCGGTGTTCAGTCTCCAGCACCACGTAAACCAGGCCTAGTGGAGGGTTCTTACAAGCCCAGTATTTGAGACGTGGAGACAAGAGGACCAAAGGTCCAAGGTCATCCCCACCTACCTAACAATGCTGAAAGCACTCATGTTGTTCCCGTTTCACCATGACCTCAGCCAGACGGCCTCTGCACCCTGCACGGCCAAGGCCAAAGACGTAGACTGTGGAGTGGTGATTGGGAGTGAAGAATGGTGATGGTGTCAGCTCTCTCAAGAAGTCTGATATGGAGGCTACAGAGATGGCCCTGTGCTTGCTCCTGGTCAGCTCAGTCTCTCCGCCGCCTAGGGAATGGTGCTATCCATGGGGATGATGCTTCCCACGCCAGTTAACTTAATTAAGACAAGCCCCGACAGACCTTCACACAGGTCAACCCAATGTAGACAAACCCTCACTGAGACTCTTCCCAGGTGACTCTAGGTTATGTCAAGTTGACCATTAAAGGGTGCCCATATTCATGAGTGCGCACACATACACACACACTCACACACACACTCACACACACATTCACACACACGTGCGCACACACATGCACACACTCACTCATACACACACTGCTGCTAAGCAAACACTTCACTACTAAGCTGCATCCTTGGTCTTGGAATCTCGATTTGGGGCTGTATTGAGTCAGTCCTGGGAGCAGTTTGGGGTGTGAGTATTGCTAAGGGGGTAATCTCAGAAATAAGGGACGGAAGGGAAGACCCTAAACCGTGATATGGTTCCAGTGGAAATGGTGCTGTGCCCCATGAACTTGGATCCTAGAACTGTGGGCCAAGGTAAGCCCCACTGTAGCCGCAGTGTGTGTTGCATTGTAGTAACACAAAGCTGAGTAGTGCAGAGTCCCCCATCCAGGATCTGGAGGGTTAGGTCTCTTGGAGCCTCCCACCGAGGCCTGCAGAGGTTTGGCTGTATTCTCATTAGTCTCTTCACCTGCTTGCATCCTTCAGATCCCTTCCTCTTCTCGTAAGTCTTTTTGGACTAACCTGTTAGCTCATTTGTAAAGGGAAGCCTTTTCTTTGAGAGAAGCCTTCCCGCCAGCCTGGTTCTAGTGCCGCATCAGTCCCAAATAAACACAGGAGGCTATATTTCCTGCTTGTTTCTTACTGGCTAGCTCTGACTTAAGTAATTACCCCATAATTGTTAATCTAAGTATTTCTCTTACCGGAGAATAGTTCCGGGCTTCCTACCCCATGGCTTTACATCTTGACTCTCTGTGTTTCTCCTTCCCAGAGTCCTCCTGGACTCCTAGTCCCACCTATCTAGATTCCTATTGGCCCAACAGTGCTTTATTGACATAATCACAGGACTTCCCACATCACTCATTCAACTTTTTTTTTCCGGGCTGGGGACGGAGCCGACAGTCTTGAGCATTCTAAGTGTTCATCTAGCCATATTCCAGGCTCCTACTTTAACCACAAGTCCCACTTGATAGGCTCTGTCTCACAGAACACAGTTGAATGGAGGGTGAATTTGAAAGGAACATAGTTCAGTCGGGTAATAGATTATTTCTGTCTTAAATCGCTGAATTATGGGAGCAATTGTTACATGATAATAGGTAGCTAAAATTCATTTCCTTGTAGGAAGGTCACCTGAGCAAAAAATAATCTTTTAAGGGAAAAAAAAAACCTGCGCATCAACCAGCTTCATCAGCAATATCTCTAGTTTACTTAGCCTTGAATATTGGGGCATCCCTGACCAGTTACCTTATATTTTGAGACAGGG